GCTGGGACAGATGCTGAAGGGCTGAAGGTGGCTGGTATCTTCAGACTTTAAGACAAACTGGAACTCTCAGGACTGGAAAAAAGGCAACACCTTTCAGGATACTGAATCTTCGAAATGTTTGAACCCACACAGAGTCACTGTGTATATATATAGCTTTGATCCCAGATGCTGTACCTGAAAGTAATATGAAGCTTTGTTTTGGTTTTACGAGAAAGGAAGTAGTGGGTTTGATTAGTACGTGCACAGTTAACCTCAAACAGCATGAACAAAAACAACTATTCAGCAGATGGAAAATTTACATTCAATCTGAAACTGCCATCCATTCTGCTTTAAGAATTGGGGGAGGAAAGGTAATCATCCAATAGAGCAGTTCAGGCCCTTTGGTGCTGCCAGTTTGCACAATTGTAGCACTTAATATTTTAGCAATCATCAGGTATTTCCTACTAGGACAACACACAGAGAACTACACTTCTGTCTAATATGAGGCACAGTGAATCAGTGCAAGCTAGCTTTTTTATGGAGGACTTCCCTCCGCCCCCAATTTTTTTGCTTCCTTTAATGTTAGTGCTTTTGATGTTTAAAAGTTGCTACCCCCCTCAAAATACTGATTAGATTTGCAATTACTTCATCTTTTCATATCAGCAATGTGACTTGAATCATAACCCGGCTTCTTTAGGCTTTCCTGTTTCCAAGAAAAAATTATCCTTCTAGGTTTATGGCTAATGACTCCCACATCGATACAGTACTTGCCCTACCTACGGACTTTACTGTCTAAGTACCTTGAGATCAACAGATGAAAAACACTGCAGAAGCTTTGATTATTGCTATCTCGGCTTAAAGCACCTGCATCATTTCAAATCTCAGTGAAACAATTTTCACCCATTGGCCTTTTAAAAGTCATGTAAGGTCTGAAAGTAATTTTGCTTTTTTATGCGATAGACTGTCATATGCATGAATCATTGTCTTAAGAATTTCATAAAAATGAAGTTGCACTTCAGTTACACTGAAGGTCACCATTCTCTTTTTCCCACACTTTGAGAAGTTCTTTTAGAAGGCGCTTCATCATTTATGTATGTAGATCTAGTAGATTGCAAAGACCTACTTTTGGACTGTGACCTAGAAAAGCTAACAGCATTAGTTCTTGAACTGTAGCCTTCCCAATCAAAAGGTACAGGATAAATATTTGATCTTGAAATCACATAAATACCTAATGATATAAATAAATTTACCGCTTCCATACTTAGGTGATGCAACAATTTTTTGTAATGACAGATTCATAGTGAGTTTGATCTTACCCAGCATTCAAAACAGGACTGATGATAAATAAAAATATGGCTATGGGAAAATGAAAAACTGCAGCCTAATAATGAGTCAGGGCCATATTGTATTACTGGTTAGACAAGCTCAAATCAATTTTAATATTAAATTTAATATTAAATAAATGCTATTGCAACATCGTGTACCAGAGTATCAGTGAGATTTATGGCATGGAATTACCAGGTTATGCCTGGCATTTTCATATCCAGAGTAGTAATCAAATTACCTGTCCTACGTATCTTTTGGGCTTGGATTTTGCATGCAGTTAAACAAATGATGCATTTGAGCTTCATCAACCATAATGTCATCTCTTGATGACTGATTGAGACTGCAAGTTGATGGTGCAATTAACCACTAAACACTTGCAAAGGACTGCCATGTAAAACTCAGTGCTCACTGCCCCACATACCCACAGTATCTTATACATCCAGAGTGAGAGGTAGCGCTTTGGCGCTGCTCTCTCTGGCAATTGAGACTGCTCTGGCAAACATTGTGTTTCCAGTGGTACTCATCTTGTTTCCTGGCTGTTTTGTTCTCAGTGTGCCTTTTCAGATTGTCCACTTTTTACTTTTTACCCTTGTTCCTTCTTAAAAGCCTCAAGTTATGATGACTGTTCTTCTAAGTAAGGCACAATATGTCTCCCGGGGGAGTCTCTTGAAATTGTCTCTGTCTTCACAGCCAGGGCAGCCTGATGTGAGGCCAGAGTATCCCCCTTTGAATGAGCAGAGATCACCTTGCTATGGTGCCCTCTATCCTTGCTAATCAGGCTTTGGATCTTGAGTTAACATATGTAGACAGCCGATGGATGATGCAGCAAAATAGAGATAAGATTCCAAATAAGATCTCTCCTTTGCTGCTCCCATCCTTCCCTGCTCAGTTATGGCATGGAACAAGGTATTGGTAACTGAATGAGTTCCTCCCTAAAATAAGATCCACAAGAATTGCTGGGGACACCTTTTCTCTCTGTTGTGCCCCTCTTCTAACTACTCTTCATCTGATGAAGAGTCTCTGGACTTCTGCTTGGTCCACTTTGCCTGCATATCACAGCCATGCTTTGTGGACTACAGCCATAGGACCTAGTTACTGCGCCTTCTTGTCTTTGTAGTCTGGTATCTTCTGCCCTGACTTCCTCATCTTGAGAACTTTTTTTCTTCCACCCTTTCCGCATAACTGGAGCCTGACAAGTGGCCTAGGGCCAGGGCAAGGGAATGGGTGAAAGAAGAGCCCTCCCTTTGACTTTGAGACACAGAAGGTCTTTCAGGATGGATATTCCTCAGGCTGTCTCCAGTAGCCTGTGCTTTGCTCCAAAAGTTCAGTGTGAAATAAATCATTTCTTTAATACGTGTACTTACGTTATAGTACTCTTTGTTCTTAGGTGTGATATTAATCCCCAGGTCACAGGAAACCTTTATATTCTACATATGCTACCATAGCAAAGTGTCAGAGTAGGGGAGGGGACTGAGTACCTCACAGAGCTGAGCTGCAGAGTCTTAAACTGGGGAATTGGCTTAGGAGTGGTTTGGGTCTCACAGCCTCTTTGAACTTAGCTCAGAGAGGGACACGGAATTCACAGTGAACACTGGACTACACTACTGTGATTAGTCAGATTGCTAGTAAGTTAAATAACTAGGTTTCTCGTGTAAGTTTCTCATTTTGGGTTAGTTGCTCACATTTTAGTGATTTGAATTGCTTTTCTTCATTGAACGCTTGTTAGGGCAACCATTCCT